GGCGGGGGCTGGCCGCGAGCCCCCGGGACCCTGCAGCGGGGCCCGGGCCGGGGGCTTGGCGGGGCCCGAGCAGGGAGGGCACAACCCCCCCCCGCGGTCCCTGCCGGATCCGGGCGCACACCAGCCCCAGCCCCAGCCCGTCCCTCCCTTCGCGCCTCACCACTTGCAGCATCTGGGGGCTGCTCCTCGGAGTGGATGTGCTGGGGCTTCGCCTGCTTGCGCCGCGACATGGTGCGCAAGCATCGGGAGCAAAATAGTAGCAATTATTTTCTTCTTCACAACAAATTCCTGGAGTTGGGAAATTACCCCCCTTGGGCGGAATGCGCATGTCAGAGTAATTATGATTATCAATAATGCATTGCGATTTATCATGGGGCCCTGACAGCTGATTGGCCTGAGTCCAAGGGCTCACAGATTATTCAAATAAGGTCCATTGATCAGGGAGCAGAGGGGCACGCTGGGCCTTGTAGTCTTCCCCCGCCGGCTCCCACGCATGTGACAAAAGCGTGCGCCCCGCACCAGCCCTGCCCTGCCCTGCCCTGCCCTGCCCCGCGGGGAGCGGGGCGAGAGAGGCACGGATCCATCTTTGGGAGGAAAGCGACACGCTTCCCCGTGCTATCAATACCTCTGTTATCTCACCTGCACTCCCTCATTGTTTGCGCCGTGGCTTTTTTCCCCCCCCCTCTTTTTTTTTTTTTTTTTAAAGAAAGCAGCAGCTTGCAACAATAGACCAGGGGGCTCATTCTTCCATGTGTCACTAGATAAGATGCAAAGCAGGGCATTACCGCATGGACAAATTGCACTTGATTGGATGCTGGTGTCATGCTAAATCGGGGGGACTTGCGATGAAAAGCAAGGACAGGAACATGGAGTGAAAACCAACCGACCAAGCAAACAAACACACGCCAACCCTCCCCACAGCCTGGTTAAGTTTCTGTTTCTATCCAATACCACCTCCCAGAAGCACCTCTGTGAGGCTGCACATGGGGGTCAGCAATAAGGGTCACGGAATAAATGAACAGGGCAAAAAGTAAAACCTCTCCCAAGGCTGGAAATCTGGATACTTGCTTTCCACAGGCAATCGAAAGCTACAAACAACCATAACCCCCCTTCCCCTTTGAAAGTCAGTTGCTTGCCCATATTAAGTCATTGCATCAACTTAAATTGATGTCATCATTACTTTGCCCTCACTGTCTTTTGCTCTTTTCCCCCACCAGTTATCACATCATGTTTAAGGAGAGGCACATGGGGAGGTGCCAGGATGATTTGGATTCCCGCTGGAATGGGACCCTGTGCCTGGGTCCAATCACAGGAGAGTGCCCGAATGAACCTTGGATTCCCAAAGTGTTCAGTGGGCAGGACAGTTCAAAATGGGAAGAAGCATTCGGAAGTGGGAAGAGTAGCTTGGTGGGTAGGACACTGGCTGTGGACTTAGACGGTCTAGGTGCAGTTCCCAATTTGGCTACAGACTCTCATGTGTGAGCTTGGTCAAAGGGTTCACCTTTTTGTACCTCGGTTTTCTGTTTGTAAAATGGGGGTGTTACTTTTGCAAGGGTGTCAACGCTATAAATGATAGTGAGAGAATCAGATACTAGGATAAGATATGCCCACATCATAGATAGGAAACGGAAGATACCAGAGGAACAGCACTATTTCTCCCAGTTATTATAGACTATTGCAAGAACATTTGCTTTACTTTACCTGGTATTTTACAATAATTCCAGCCATTACAAAAAACTTTCAAATGACCTTTTTGTTATGTAGTGGATCATTTTTCAGATTCAAAGTTTAATCATTCAAAGCATCGCCAAAAAGTATTAAGTATTTTTACAACAATACTCTGCAACGTTTGCATATGAGTGTGAAAGGGCTATGCAAAAATCTCAGTTCTATACACCAAGGAAAACAATGCAGCACCATTTAATTATTGATCTGCCCTCTTGGTTTTTCCTTACAGTGCCTTTTACAGGCAAGTTATTTAGCATTTTGTAAAAGATAATTATAAACCAGGGGAAAAAACTATGCAGAACTATATATTCAGTCACTTAAGGGTTATATAATGTAGAACATCTCTCAGGGAACAGATTTTGATTCTTAAGGTGAGGAGTGTATCCCCTAAAAAAAAAGAACTGTTGCATTTGGTCCTGAGCCTGATGCAAACAATTGCTTTCACATTATCTGTGTAGTCACTGTAGTAACCAGATAAATGATCATGTATCATGGATTTAAATTTACTTTGAAGAACATCTTCTGGACCATTTATTGCAATCCTGAAACTTTGCCCCCTAACAGTTCTGTATATTTATTTGTTTAACAAGCTGTTAAACCAATTTAAAGGAATGTTTTCTCTTTGCAAAGTGTCCTGAGGAAACAGACTGCTAAATATGATTCATATCAATTGGTGTATATAAAGAGATTTAGAATAGTGGATTTTCTTATGCTTCTACATCTAATATATTCCGTATAACCTTATATTTGGGCTTATGGCACAGAACTGACATTGCACAACACTACTAAGTCATGGAATGTCTTTATCAAAAACATTGTACATGCCAGGAAAATGAAAGCAGTTTTACAGCCACATGTCAGCTTATGTGGAAGGATGCGTTTGGGGCTTTTATTGCATTTTAAAGAGTCTGCATGAAATGTTTCGCATGTTGAAATCTATGTGAGTTTTGATACTGATTTTATGAATCCAGGACTTTACCCAAACCCCTTCTGGAGTTATGGTGAAATATTAGTTTATTCTAAAATATCAAAAGGAAAAGGTGAGGCAGGGCTCATTGTTTATTGGCAATTGGCATTCAGTGGGGGAGAGCAAATGGGAGAAGGAGTGTTACAAATATTAGGAAGCAGAATTCAGGAGAGGTGGTGTTACTGGTTAGACGCTCTTTGCTACAAAACTTTGTCTTGTTTGAACCTGCCTGGGGACACTGAAGTTAGCTGACATGATGCTGAGCACAACTTTACATTCAGTGTAGCCAGGGTAAACGGTATTGAATATTGTACCAGTTGATCAAGAGAAGACTCAAGACCTGAGCTTTAGGTCACTGCTGCGCTAACAGTTGCCTCTAGACAGGGAACCCTGAAGACAGAAGCTTGGATGTATCTGCTTCTGGGCAACTACATGCAAACAAACAGCTTTCACAGAAAGAAACTGCCTTGGGAAGAAGTTATTCTGGGCTGGAATTAGGTCAAACTTTCCTGAGTTAGGACTCAGGGAGTTGTATCATGGAGCAGCATTTCTTAGAGCAGCTGGGGTTTTCTCAGGATATCCTGTTCATGCATACAGGACCAGAAGAACCGCTCAGTACATGAAAGCTTTACCAGTTATGCCAGTATAATTATACTATTATATTGAAGCTGATATAGGCCGGAGGTGCAGGAATAGGACATCCTAGTGAAAATAATGTTGCAACCACAGGATGTGACCTCTGATTCAAAGTAAATCTACTGTAACCTAGAAACCCTACCCTGGTTCCAATTCAGGCTTGGTGCTTTCCAGGACAAGGGCAGCTTCATTCCAGGACAGTTGTTCATTTGTGCACGGCTGCTCTGAGGCACAAACTTGGTCTGAAGGTTCCCTGTCCCACTGCCACTCTGTTAGTGTAGCTGTGAGATAAACACTTGTGTGGCCACTCCTATTCAGTATAAAAGTGTCTTTTTTCCCCATGTTTTATTAACCCACTTGCCTAGTGACACTAGCTATAGTGGAAAAGACATGCATACCAGAACACAAGTGATTACCAAAGGGTTTCTAGTTATCCTGGCACAACCATAGTGGTTTAAATTCACCCTTTAGCTTGTGTCTATATAATTTTCCTATGCAAGTATTAGGAAGTACATGGAAATTGAACTAGATAGCTCTTATGTAAGGAAGGCACTAGAAGATGGCATAACATCTTCACTACATGTAGGTGAGGTGGCTTTTTTTAAATCCAATATATTTAAAGTTTTACTGCCTTTGGGTAGAAACAGTGGGCATGTAAAATTAATGTACAGGAATAATGGGTGCAATTTTATGCCCACATTTATTGCTCCTGGGCACACCATTTGCACATGTGCCCGGGACCGCAGCATGTTGAGCTGGGTCAGAGCAGCCCCGGCTGGCAGGGAGCTCAGGGGGTCAGCCTACTGCAGGGCTAGCTCGCAGGCAGCCCCCACATTGAAGCAACCTCGTGCCCCATTTGGCTCTGTCAGCATCTACACGTGTATTGCTGCAGAGTAAATAACTCTGGAATAGGAGTGTACTTGTAAGTACAAGTACTCTCCTACAGCAGAGTTAATTAGTTATGGCAGGGTTAATTAGTTTACTCCAGCCTAATAGCATCAGATGTGTAGACAGTGACATTTTACTAATTAGTCAGCTTCACAGAGAATGTCTCATGTAGACAGGCCTGGTTACATCAGTGTAAATTCTACCCTTCCTTATGCGACTGGCTATGCCAGTTTAAAGTACTTTTATACCCGTATAACTATCTACCCCTCTGAGGTGGGGGGATGTTGGCACTTTCACTAGGTTAATATAATTAAAGGGGGACAACTCTGGTGTGTAAGGCCTAAATTTCAGCATAGGTATCCCTCTGAATTTGGCTGATCAAGTTTCTGTGCTCTGGCTTTAAAATATTCAGGCTGGAATTTTCCAAAGAGGCGATATCAATCAAATTTGGGTAGCTGATTCTGCAAGGCACTTCTGAAAACCTCAAATATTTAGGAGGTAAAATATTTAACAAGTAAGGCAATAATGATCAAAGACCTGACAAGTATTTACTGGTAACAAATCCCCATATTCTTTCCACATCACCTAATAAATGTAACACAATCACCCAAATGCTATCAATTAATAACTAGTTGTTAAATGTGAGCAGCTGTTTAGATTAGTTAATGCTTTTTGATAGGAGATGTCTTAGTTGCTTTGTAGTTAGGACTCTGCTCTGTTATATGAAAGATGCAGAATATGTATGTCTACATGCAGAGGCACTCTGGGGCTGTGATTTAGGAATGGTGTTATCCCACTTTTCTTGGCCAGAATGGTGGTGATCATGTCACTCAGCCACTTGATGGGCAAGGAGGGGATTGGAAATCAGATCTCCCTTTGGAGCTGGGAGGGAAACAGGGGAGACAGAGGATGATAAACATGCATGTTCCATTGTTGCCTAAAAAGTCTTAATTATCCTTTGGTTCTTTTCTTTCCATTGTCCCCTGTATTCAAATATGCAGCTCATCATTTCATATTTTTCTTCTAATGTGGAAATACTCAGTCCTATCAAGCTATGCTCATGTCTATGCAATTTCACCAGGGGTGAATTTGACTCGTGATG